ATTGACCAAAGAGTGTTGTGAGGAAACACGGCTTTGATTTTCTATTATCCTGATTTTTATTTAATAATCCCTAACCAAAGGAACTGTTAGTTCCTAATTTAATTTAATATAAATTCATTAATTTCCATCCGTTTAAGTCATGAAGAGCAATACTAACAAAACGTAATGAATTGTTAGAAAAATAAATTAATTAATTTAATAAAATTATTAAAGTTGTTCAATTTAATGGAATAAGATTTTTTATATGTTTTTCATTTTTCCAAAATTAAACTTGCTACACACAATAAATTTATAATTAAAATTAATTTTTAACAATTTCTAACAAGACATTTGAAAATTTTTTATTAAATTTATGAAAAAGTATAAATCTTAAATAATTTAATTTATTTTTGTATCATGATTAAGTTTTTATAATCATTTAAAATAATTATAAAATCTCAATTTTTACTGTTTTTAAAAAACATTGATGTAGAATTTATAAAAACAAATAAATTGTATCCAAAACTTTTTGAATTTAATGTATTGTTTATATATTAATTAAATTAAAATTAACTGTTATAAGCCTGAGACTTGCAGTTCAAAGACATTATATACGGACTATAAACAAATTAAAAAGAAATTCGTAAAAAAGAAATTCCTAAGACCACCCACTGTTGATGAGTACTTGGCAATACTCGAAACAGTACTTGGCAATACTCGAAACTCGAATAATTCAAGACCCCTATTATAGGTTTCAGTTTTCTGTATTGATTTCTTTGAGATTAGATATAGTGAAATGTAATCAATTTGTGGCTACGGGCTTACCTGATTGGATACCTTAAGGAAAAAACCTTACTGGAAAACCAAAGTTCAATAGATACACATAGAGAAGAATTATATGGAGTGCTATAAGGTTAGATTAGGTTACACCGGCGATCCTTAGGGCATTCATTTATGCCTTTCGACCCATTGTGTTACCGTATACAGAGGTAAACTCTGGGTTTAAGACCACATAGAACCTAGTGTCAGGTCTTGTAATTAATCAATATCCTCAAGAAAGGGGGCTCCTAAAGTGTTAAGTCGCTGCCGTGCAAGAGGTAAGCAGAAACAGAGTAGATGAGATGGAGTGCCATAAACTGGATTTTGATTTCAACGTCAACCCTAAGATCTCAAAAGTCAACAGACAGGATATAAAGCGGTATGTTAACATATAAAATTGAAAGTATCAGCAATGCAGCTACATGGCGAAGAATAATATGAGGAGCTCCAAACTCTCCGATTGCAAGAACAAATCTTAAATCTATTTATAAGTTAGACATTTTATTTGATTGAAAAAGATACTTATATTAAAATGATTGATTGTACTCTAATTGCGTTTATTATTTCGGAACAAATTAATTGAATTTATTTATTTAACATTTATTATTTATTAAAATCACAAATTTTGTGCTGCAATTGTGGTTAAGTTTATGTCAAAATATTCAAACTAAAGTATCTACCAAATGCAGCCGGGCATGAATTTGTTTAAGCAGCTTTTCATTTTCTGCTGCAATTATAAATTTAATTTAAATACCACGTTTGAGGAATTTATTTAATAAAACGCATCAATAAAACTAATTCCACAGAATAAAATAAATTCAACTAAATGTTCTTTGCATTACGCGTGTTTTTGTGTCAATAAGTATTTAACATAATACAGTAAGTATCTGCGCAAACGTAGATAAAAACGTAGTAGTGATTGAGGAGCACAAAAACAATTTATAAAGTGGCAAATGGTTATAGCATTTATGTCTTTGAGCAACGGCTGCCATCAGTTCAGATAAATGCGACAAATTGTAACGTTTGTAGTTTGATATTATATAGATATATAGTGAGATACATTGTGGCATATTCGAGATACAATATTTTGATAGCAAATGATACTTTTATGCTCGAATGAATTTACTTCTGAGTTTGTGCAAAGCTACATGGAAATGCCATTTTCAATAATTGTGCATGTACTGATTATGCTTAGTAAAAGATATGTCAAAGTAACGAAGGACATACAAACATTTAACCAGAAGTGCAGGTAAATACAACTCAACTGCATACGAGTAGTTGCTTCCTATTTATGCAAGAGTGTATGTGATATTTATCGAAGATTTTATCGTTTGAAATTCATAGCGCACACATTATGAAGTATCTTTGTCCAACTTACCACTTCAGTGGTTTCATATCTTTACCGAATTATTCAATTCAATCAGTTAGAAAATTTATTCATATTTTATAATTACACAACAACTAACAAGAACAGCACTAAATTTTCTTCAGCCTACAAATAGACAATAAAATATGGACAACTGCAATTCGAAAATGGTTCTACTCAACACATTCCCAATTAACTGTTATGATATCACAATGCAGTTGAAGATACTTCCACTGCTAATGAAGCAAATACCTTGTGGACTAAAATTTCAATTTCATAGATAATAGTTTATTTAATTTTTGCTTATTTGTGTTACTTTCAATAATGAAGCTCAAAAAATATTATCACAAGTCAAGAGCGTATCCCAACAGAGAACGATCCCCCTCTTCTATTTAAATTGTATCCGAAGTAATACTAAATAATATTTCATGGACTAATGAGTAACCGAATAAAAAAGTTTATGATTACATATGAGCTTATGCTTTGATGGCCAAAAACCAAGCAAACAGTTCACTAGATTTCACTAGATCATCTGTGATGTTGGTACAGTCGATGATGTCATCCGCTTAAGTTGTTTTGCACCTTAACGACTATTAACCTTGGGTTAATGAAAATATCTAGCACAAAAAACGCTGGAAAATATGTTGTAAAGTCATCAGATACCAAAATTTTGGTAAAAGTGAAAAACTCACTATCTTGAAAGATAATATTCTACACTTTTCAAGGGCACACGATGACACTGTTTAGATTATACTGGCGTTCCTGGTGGATTCACTTAGGCTTATTGGCACATTGTGTTACCGTATATGTAGAAAAAACTCAGGATTTAAAACCACCTAGAACCTTTGACAAGGCCTAAAATGCTGTTTAGTGTCAGGTTTTGTAATTGATCAAGATCGTCAAGGAAGGGAACTCCTAAGGTGTTGAGTCTCCGCTGTGCATGAGCTAGGCAAAAACAGCGGAGTTCATATTATAATATACCACTGGTTTGTCTATAAATAATATAGAGACATAATTAACACATATATATGTGTAAAAAGTTGCAGTTCAATTGGTCAACAGAATGGTCGGGTTCAATTAAGTTAAACAGTGACACGATAAAAAAGTTCAGGCAGTTCTTTTTGTCGACGTACCATAGTACTCTGAAAATATGAAATTATTATTTTAAATGTAAGTTAATGATTGAATAAGACCGTCTGTTGATACGTTGCGTATGGTCTAGAAAAACGATAACCCAAAAAGTATCTGGGCTAAGGTCCCACCAAGGTTTGTTGCAGAAGCAATTTTTTAACAATCTATTACTCTTGACTCTATCTCAGAAACACAGCTTTAAGCACTTCTCTAAATTTTGAAAAAATTCTACTTTAAGTTCTTCAAAGAGGTTCTACAATATGTGTTATCGCTAGGAAGCAATAGCTGTATCCGTGGGTTACAGTCTGCCACATTAACTGAACCTAACCAAACCCAATTAATAAATAAATGAAGAAAATAAAGGTTTTTTTGTGATAATGTAGTTTTAAGTTAGGGAAAGTTTTTGTTATTGTTTATCTTATTATTTCTCTACTATGTTATTTGGTTTCAACAGTTTTCAACAGTTTTGGATGAAGTTTGTTTTTGAAAACACAAATGTTTTAACATCGAACAGAACTCATGTAATGAATAAACAATCTTATTTTTTGAACTTCAATGCGGTTTAGTTAATTAAATTTATTTACAGTACAGTACGCATTGCAATGTGCTTAAGGTCAAGTACGAATGGTGATTAGTTTGCGGCTCCAACGCTGGGCACAAACTGCGCACGTCACGTTGTTGTTTGTAGAGTTTTGTGGTTTAATGGGAATTTCGCAGGTGTTTGCAGTTCATAATGTGCCCTAAAAGCCCTAACGTTTCTATTTAGCATTTTGTAATAACGCTACTCCAACATGGTGAACATGTAGTGGATGGGGTCTTGAAATGTTATGTTAATGAAATGACATTTGGTGTGGGATAATTTGGCTGACGTTACGTTTGATGGCAGACGTATGGCCAATACGCGTTTTTACATGTTTTTTTGGAACGCCACTGTTTTTGTTAAACGAAAACCGCTAATTTATTTAGTGTCTTTCCATTTCCTTTTTATTTATTCAATGTTTTTTGTGTTGTTTGGTGATTTTATTTCGTTAATTTAATGCCGTTTTTCTGTCGTTCGGTCGTTCGGTCGTTCAGTTGTTCGGTCGTCTATCCGGTTTTTTGCCGCTCGTTCGGTTTGTTGGGGTCCGTTCACGATGTTGATGTACCTGAGGATGTTGTTGTCCATTCGATGGTGGCATCGAACAGCAACGCTACTAGTATGTTACTGTGTCATTGTGACGTAACCATTAAGTTACGTTCTTATTAAAATCTCAGGTGAATATTTATGTGAGTTTATGTGTCTGTGTGTGTCTGTAACATGCGTTAACCATTAGGATACTTTAGTATTCATTTTGTTGGCCACGAGCAAACCGACGGAAAAAAACTAGGAAAACTTTAACATAAGTTTATATTTTTTGTTAATACGTTCTTGTTGTTTTGCCTACTCATTTTAATTTTTGTTGCTGTTTTTAGTGGTTCTACTTTGGTTAGCCACTTTAGTATGCTTCCCAGACCCATGCTAACTTTTATTTGTTTTTTGTACTTTTCGGATTTGTTATTTAAGGTTTGTTCAACGATAAAATTTTGTGCCATTTAAAGAGAAAGAAAAATCTAATACAAATTCAATTTTGTGCTTTAAGAGGCTATTGAGTACTGGAACTTAAGTTATAAATAATAAATAAATTTTATTTTAATATATATATCAAAGGGTTTTGGAATCACTTACCTTACAATTTCTTGAACTGTACTCTTCTTGTTTTATGTATCACCAGGGAACTAAAACAACAAAAATTTTTTTTTTTAAATGATAAAATACTTTTGACTTATCATACTAGTCAGTTAATTTAAATCTGACAGATTTGAAGTTTCAAACCTGGCACTTGTGATCCAACAATTGTATAGTGACATACAAAATGAAAAAATTTTTTCAAAAGAAAACTAATGACTAGTATTTAGCAATACTGTTTGCAAAAAAACTGCAATTTAAAAAGAAAAAAAAAACCTCATGTTGTTGTTGTTGTTGTTATTTGAGTTAATGCTATTACGCACTTTTACTCTTTTGCGGTTGGGTGACTTACACTGCCCCACACTAAACTTTAACTATATTAGAATCATTATCATTTATTTATCTTCTAACTGATGACGAAACATAGATCCGTTGTTTAATGCTTAAAAATAAAAATTTTTCTATTCATGTATTAGTGTCTTTGTCATAATTAACCTTATGGATTGTGTTAGATGGAGAGGGTGCTTATTGATATGATTATCAGCACCTCCACTCAAAGAAATATATATTGCCTACTTAGTCTAATATTGTGCTAGTCAAAATATATGGTCTTTTAGATAAAATTGTGTAGATCCGAATTGTTATTTTTGTTATTTCCGTCAGAGCAGAGAAAATTTGGTCTCCAGCAAGTTGAAATCGCTTTGCCTGTACTCCCGCACAAAAAGTGATAAAAAAAGTGATAAAAAGTAATTACCATATTTACTTCTATTTCTTCTACTCACTCTGGCAATTACTCCACCATCTCCTTGTCGAAATTCGCCACTGTTGCAGCATAGGTGTAGTGGCACAATGTCTCTCTCATATTCCAGTGAGTATATGCACTGTAGGTTTGCTGAAGCCCAAAAAGCTGTACGCTTCCTTTTTAATGCCGAATATAACCCATAAGGTTCTGGTCTGTTACAACGACCCTAACACATTTTTAAATCAATTTTTAATTTAATTTTTATACAACTTGAAAAAAGTTTGATGTGTTTTTACTTATTGGTTTCTTAGCTAATCTTTAATAATTTTAATTAATTTGGTTTTCTTTAATTAATGAATTACATGCGGGGATTTTAATTTATTTGTGCGCGGAAATCTAAATTATTAATTCAGTACGATAAAAATCAATGACCCATTTTTCTTCTTTCAAGTCGTTTTTAACCTCAAACCAAATTGACAGTTCTAGAATAATTTGCGTCTGCTAAACTTAAATTTGTAAACCATTTTTGACCTAAGCATTCGGGTCTCCGTCAAAAAAAAAAAAGATTCTAAAAGGTTAATGAAATATTTTTATACTAAAAGATTTGTATTTCGTGCATTCAGTAAACTTGCTGCAGAGTAATAGATGAAAATCGATAAATGAGACATAAAGACAGGAGAGTTAGGCAATTACTTTTTGTTGCAGGATAATGCACAATCTTAAAACATAACATTATTATCGATTATTCTCCTTTTCAACAGATTTGGGTCCTTTCGACTTCTGGCTATTCCTCAAACTAAAATATTCGATAAAAGGAAATTATTTTAATTTAATCATCTTTGCAATGCAAAAGGTTGAAAGCAAAATGCTACTCGATTTATTAAACATTTCCATGTTGGTTTTTGTTGGAAAGGACACTATTTTATATATTTTATATAAAGAAGAATAAAATTTTAAAATTATGTGGAGTTTGCACTTTTTTTGTGAGTTTGAACTCATCGGAACCAAGGCAGATTGTTTAAATTTTTTTCACACGCATGCATAGCGATTCTGTTAAAAAAATATAATTGTTTATAGAAATACGCCTATGTTTTAAATATAATATAGTTTATAGAAATGCAGCTATATGTAAAAATTAAATAATAATATTAAATTAATATATGTTAATTATGTTACTTTATGTCTTTTCTACTGAATGTTGAACGAGTGTTTTTACTTTTATTCTTCTTCTTCTTCTTCATGCTATAGCGTTCTCAGGGGAACATTGTGTCGTGTTGTTATAGTTGAACCTAACGAAAAGATTCTATTTAAACGTGAGTTTCGCACCTCCAAATCTATTGTGCGTGCTGGTGAAGCAGGTGGATTCACCATATGTGTACGGGTACCACTTAGAGACTGTAATTTCATCGGTTTCAGACTCATGTTTTACTTCCAGAAAATAGTTAAAGTATGGAGCAAAGCTCTGACGATGGGTTACAAGCGTTATGTCAAGCCTGTAAGCTTTGCACGTAGTGACAGATCACTTTTAAGTAGGCCGCTCCTAACCTGGAGAACAGACGCTCATTATAAGTACCGACGCTACGTTGTGGACTGCGCTTACCGTTATTACTCGTCGTTTGACTTTACGTGCAAGGGAGGCCCTATCAGTAGGATGCTAACATCGGCATCGTTTGAAGATCTACGTAACTACTGAGCCTCCTCACCACGTCAAGGTGGCAAACCCCGAGGAGGAGTGCCACCTTTACTTTTATTATTTAACTTTTATTTTGTAACAGATTTCGTTTTTATTGTGGAGTATATACTTTAAATTTATTATAATTTAATAACTAATAAAAAAAATTATTGATTTTGTTTAATAATTATATTGCCTAACTTATATTAAACAAAAAATGCTGAAGTATTAAAAAACTATAAATATTAAATATAATAAAAAATATATATAAAAAATATAAATATTAAATATTAATAAACACTAATTATAAAATCAAAATAATATTAAAAATATTAAAATAAAAAATAAGACAATACAAAATAGTTATTACGAAAATATTCCTTTTTTATCCTGTCATTTGTGTAATAAGACATCTTTAGTTTCATTAATAAATGTGTCCAAATATGTATAAAAATATATCTCATGTTGCTTAAAAATAGCTTAACCACTTCACAAAAAATTTGAATTTAAAAAATTTTAAATTTTGAATAAAAATCCAAATTGACTTAAAATAAGAAATCTTATTTAAAGAAAAAAGAGTCCTCAAAGTGTCTTGACATCAGCGCTTCAATGCGGGCATAACCTCTCAAAATGTGAAGGATGTAAATATTCACATATTCGTATCCTTGCATGTTAAATTAAAATAGTTGTGACTTAAGGATAAAACACGAGCAAATTTTGCTCGGAATATCTTTTCTTCCCACACATGAACACATTTTATTCGTTTTATTTAAACTTGACTATTTGTAGTTCATAACTTTAAAGGACTTTCTGTTACTATTGTTGTAACTATTATTACAATTATAGTTTTTGTTGTAGCTATTTTTGCACTTGCCGTCTGCTAAAAAATTTATTTATTTACATTAAGTTCTCTTTTTTTTTTCGTTTTTGACTCTCAACTCTTTGGTTCTGTGTAGTGGCAAAAATATGTGCTGGGTCCTGTGTCGTTACGAAAACATATGAACGGGATGGAATAAATGTATTATAAACAAAGGCATGCAAAACAAATTTTAAATTATTCATAATAGGAACATAAAAAGGATAACGTATCCTGTAGTTGTAGTCATTCTATGCGCAACATAAGAGCGATGACGCCTTTTTGTCGCCCATTCTTCCTTCACAATAATTTCATTTTCGACTTTTATTTTCTTCTGGAATCCATTTTATGTAAGTTCAACAAGAATCCTTTTTCTGTTTAACATTTTAAAATTAAGTTTATTAAATTTCATAGTAATGGTCTTAATTTAATAAATTTTCTATTCATTTTTGGGTACATAGGAAAGTTTAAGGGTTTTTATTATAAAAATATGCTTAATAAGCTAAAGTTTCTTGTGAAAGTGGAGTGGAAATTTAAATTAAGCAAAGAAATCTATTAATAATATTAACGACTTTAGTAATACACACATATATATATAGAAGTTAAATCTGGTTACAGTAAGAATTGTTAAATTATGACAGACAAAGGGAATTAAGTTTATAATCTTCATACAATGTTCTTTAGAAAAGTAACTCATACGACACGTAGTGCATTTATGGTAAATGGTTTAGTTACACAACGTCAATAAGATTTTTAATGAAACTGATTATTACATTAAAATATAAATACTTGATGTATGTTACACTAAATAAATATAATATTTCTTTATAATTATTTATAAACAGTTCAGTATTTTCAGACTTAATGAATCATGTGTAAATATATACCTGAAATAGAACAGAATTGTATTATGTGATATATAAAATATTTACTTATAATAATCAATACTTTTATTTATACTAAAGTATGTATGGAGTGGCAATAGTGTGAACCAAAACACACTTGCGCTCTACTAAGGACTAATAATAATAAGAAAGGACTAATAATAATGAGGAGGAATATGAAGAATAATAACAAATAACAATAAGTATTATTCATATATAGATCAGTTGTCGACTTAGATACAACATTGATTGCCACGACTTCCATATTCGCAAATTAAACGAATCTCTCAATAAAGATATTTCATGATATTGTAAACATACAAATGGTCTTAAGAAGTATAGCATTACTGTTTGAACAGTTTCATGCAATCAAAACTTTCAAAATGTTATTCTCAAAGAGAGATACCGTAAATAAGTTTCGAATGTTAATAGAAAGTAGAGAGTAACTAAACATTTTTTCTGGTAGATGTGGAGTAAAGGTTTCCACTGTCCCACCAACCAAGAATAACTGAGAGGCAATCTTCTACCGTACATTCACTTTCACGATCATCATATAGTAGTCTGCTTAATTATTTGACTTTAGAGTTTACACTTTGAAAATCAAAATCAATATAAAGGAGTGTTAAAATGTTTATGTACTCAAGAAAGGTGTGTATATATTCGATTTCATGTAAATGAGTAAAGATTTCTGGGTTTAGAGTTTACACTTTGAACACAAAAACAATAAAAAATAATGGTAATGTCCTAAAGAAAGGTGAGCATATGTTATATTTTATATGAACGGGTAAAGATTACCATTGTTTATTGATCCTCAATTTACTCATAACTACACTTCTTATTAACTACATTATATTGTAAGACAAAACTGAACAATCCAAATAAGCTTAGGGATCGTATATTAAATAATGTGTTTCCATATTAGATGTCGAACTACTAAATCCAATATGGAAATATATTTTAAAATCAATATCATTTTTTTCTTTAAGATTTGACAGTCTTAAAGACTGATTGATTTCTGAATCAATGAACGGGCAAATAACTAATTTTTTTAAAACATTAGTTTTCACTGTTTTACCAATTGGAAAATGAATATATTTTGAAAAGTTAGATAAGTATCACAAGCCATAAAATTGTTCAGGGAAGAGCATAGGTAAATTTACAATTTCTCAGCAATTATTCCTCTTATGTACAAGATCTGATCTCCAGTTGTTGTGTTTTATTTATGGCAACGTCCATTCGAAGCTTCAGTAGCTGATAAAAATTCTTACCATTTAAAGATATCTGATAAATGGGGGTTTGAAAACCCTGATGGAATGCAATATTGATGTTTGCTTAAGAAATTAGATAGTCGTTGGAGAAAGTGTGTCTTAGTAATAAAATATTTAAAAGCATTTCTTTATAGGTTGAAGACTGAATTTTCAAACTCCAGTCCTCCTCAAGGAGGTATACAGTTATTGCTTAGTCTGTTGGAGTGATAGACAATAATCCAGTCAAGGCGTAAAGAGAGGTTATGAAGAAACGTCGCAGTTAATATAGAATAAAAGTGCACAATTTCTCCTCAACTGCTGTGAATGCAATAATTAACATCTCTAGCAATAGTTTATAGAGAGGAGATGAGATGAGAGTCCATAATATTTGCCTTGTAGTATTTTTAGTGCAGTTCTCAATACAATTCTCAACTTTCAATAAGCAGTAGAAACTATGATAATTATAATTCCTAAACTCTAATCAAGAGTATCATTTTGTTGTTGTAATGTTAATGATTTTGTGCATAATGCCTTAATGTGTTTCAGAGAAAATCTAAGTAGATTATGAACTCATGATATGTACTCAACATTACGTTAGTTCATTGCAGAGCATACCAAGTATTAAGGATGAGATAATTATTTGTCATTATATCTGATAAGGTGAACTAATGTAATATATTTTACATACATACCAAATCTTCAATCAATAGACTTACAACATCGATACACGATAAAAACGTACACTATCTTGAAGTTAAAATCTCTCGATTGAGGCAAACTAGAAAAGAATTATTTTTTGCTTAATGTATTTAAATGATTTTGAATAAATAATTGCAAAATCTTCTGACATTTAATACAAAACCATTTGTAAAGCTTCCAAGCAACTTAACAGTCCCTGAAGTAGAACGACCTCCTGCAGTGAAAGCGAAAACATCATCACACACACACACACACAGTGTAAGTGAGTGCGTGATGTAAGGACTCGAAAATGTAAGCTGACACAAATACACATGTACGAGCTACTGAATTCTCGCAGATGCGTCAAGTACTCTGACTTCCGTCTGTCATTAGGATATACAAAAAGCTAAAAAGCAAAAAAGCACAAAAACAAAAAAAAAAACAAAATCGTCGAAAAATGTGAAAAAAATCATCAAAAGCAAAAGTAGAGATAATCCGTAGTAGCTCTCGTGGATACATTATCTTGGAAAAGGGTAATTTACATTGACTGAATCTCTTCAAAGTCAAGTCGATGGAGAAGCAAAAAATCAATGATGATTACTCTGACATTTTGTGTAAAAATTCGCTTATGCATTGGAATTGCCAGAGGCAAACTTAAATTGTTGATTAAGCAACGAAGCAGGATAATGTCAAGCTTTAAGAGATGAAAACGCTTAAGAAGTATACAACTTAATAACAACAAACACAACAAACACAACAAAACCAACAACAACAAATTAACAACAAAATCGGTAATGCATAAGAAGCAAGGATTCATTAAGAAATTTCTGTTAAGCGAAAAAATTAAGGATAATTATAAGAGAATTTTTATGCAGCAACAAATGAAAATGACTTGCACATATGGAAAAGTATATTGATTTGATTTGATGGCCTTGAGTTAAAAGCCACTTTAAAAATTTTCATTTAATTAAGCAAATACAAAAGAAAATTTATTTAATAATATGCAGACACTAATGTACTGTTAATTTTCAAATAAATTGCATAAGCAAACTTTGTAAATAAAGTCAAAGTTAGACGATTTGATGCGCATAAAATCCATAAAAACCGAATGAAACCCACTCCCCGAACAATCAACAAAGTCAGCTACTGATGATTCTGAAGAATTACTGAAGCGTACTAATTTTCGTTTAAATAGAAATAATCCTAATATAGAATTTCACTTAAGCAATGAAAATGACAATGGATTGATTTCAGTTTAAGTTTCTGCTCCCTCAGCTTCCGTGCTGTCGTCCTTGTGGAGCATATCAATTTCCTTGCCAACAAAGTTGGTGCACATATACGTTCAGATTTCAAGTTTCAGAGCAGAAGACAAATTCTAATCAGTAACTTAAATTTTATATTAAAATGAATTTTAAGCAAATTTTAAAATCAATATTAATGCTGATTAAAGAAGAACTACTCTGGTGGAATTAATTAATTTCCTTTACTAATTAACTGCAAATAATTTAACTTCAAGGCAGTTAGCCTGTATATGAATTGCAAAATACTGGATAGATAGTATCGTAAATTTAAATATTATTTCAGAATCGTATATAAATTTATAACCCTTGTGCATTAGTATTTGTGCTCAAAGCTCTAGTTCTTACACCAAACTGAAGAGACTAAGTCACTGTGTCCGGATATTGTAAGTAAACAATATACTGAGGGCATGGCCTTATAACGATGTTTTGGTAGCGAGAGTATCACGGTGACAAAGTTCCCGTTTGGTGAGAGAACTGGAACTTTGAGCGGAAATAATAATGCACAATAGTCAACTCAGATAAAAACTAATACAACATTTTATTGATTATACAGCGCAACACACTAAACAGTTTCAATGGTTTTGGGTAAATTTAAAGCTGTTAAGTTAAAATCTACAGCACGATTTTTTCGTGGGCTTTGAGCACAAGGACGCCACTCCAACCCAATACTAACGGTAATCTGAAACACGATTTTTTCCTAGACATATGAGCTCGTGGGCTCTGGCCACAGGGCCACCACTCCAGCCCAATACTGAGGTAAAATTAAAAAATTTGAGTCTAGAGAGATTAAGAAAAACTTTTTATTTTATAAATAAAACAAGGGCACATATTTACTACAGACATTTATTTTTAGTTTTCTCTCATTCCCTCCCAAAAAATTAATATTTTGATATATAAATTAGTTCTGTAAGAAAAATTAATTTTTAGACAATATTTAAAAAATTGCTTCATTCAAAGTAGAAAAATTTTGAGAAATAAGTTAGGAAAATTCAGAAATAATGTCAGAGATAAAAATATTCATTTATTTGTTCGTAACAAGTTTGTCAAGGACACGAAACATACACTTATTCAAACATAAAATATTACATTAACCCTTTAAAACCACAATTTTAAGCATAACCTCAATATTGGCAGAGATTCAAAAGTCTAGAACAGAAACTTGTGTCAGATATATTATAATGATAGCTGCCTCAACTTAACGTGATCTAAACAATTGATATTAAAAAATTAGAATTAAATTGAAAAAAAATTTGAAATGGAGTTGCAATAACAATAAAAGAAAATTAGAATAGAAATAACAAATAGTTCTGATAGAATAACATAAGACTGAAACTTGAAAGGAATTTAAAAATTTGAACTCGATCACTAATTAGTATGGGGCAGAGATAAGCCCCCCAACCATAAAAGAGTAAAAGTGCTTAATAGCACTAACTCAAACCACAACAGCAACAACTAATTATAAAAAAAAATTTTATTTATTTCCTACTCTACAATATATATCAGACGATACAACCTTTGTTAAAAATGAGAAAGTAGAAAACCACTTGAATTAGTTTCAAGTGGTACTTTGCAAACAACCTTATATAATAAAATAAGAATAGAATAGAAATAGAATGAAATGAGAATATATTTAGAATAGAAATTTCATACGTATATTACTAAATAAAATGAACATGGGAATAACCAAAAAGAAAACAGTCAGGCTTTTAGAAAGTTAAAATGTCTTTTATTGAGGATTGAATAATATTAGTTAGTGATACGATCTCCAGGCCTAATATGAAAATGATCGTGCAAAAAATAAATATTTTTCACTGTTATCACTGTCTTTAGTACTTCTAATAATCAGATCAATTATGCAGCAAAAGTTTAACTCTTCAGGGTTTTCGTGACAGTCTTCTTAAAGTCATATTGGTAATGAATCCTAAAATTCATTTCTTAATTATCGTAAAGTTAATTTCGTAAAGTTTTAGAAAATTTCCAATTATAATTTATTTTTTTAAAGGAATCCACGGTTATCCATTTGTAAGTTATAGTATTAAGTCTCAAATGTTCCAGAGTGTGTTATTACGGTCATCCTGCAAAGTTGGCATTTTATTTCATTTTTGAAGTTTCAAATGTCAAAATTGAAAAATTCAGTTCGAATTAAGTTTTTGAAAACATCGTTTCAGAATTTATTACAAAAAAAAAAACTGGCTAAGAAAAAAATTATAATTCGATATATTTTTATGAAATTAAGAGAATTGATGTCATTTGTGATTATCGACTTTGTCAAAATTGGCATGGGACTTGTTTTTCCAATTTGGGTAAGTTTTAGAAAATATTAAGCGAAAAGAGATTAAGAAAAATTATATTTCGTTTCTTAGTAATATCACATATTTTCTTGATGCAGGTTTCATTTATATCATAAATAATGTATCGAACTGAATCAGGAAGATTTCAAGTTAAGGATCCCTTAAATCCAACATTTGAAGAAAAGTTGCATATGTTAAGTGGTTGTTTGCGCAGACGCAAGTCCTGTGAATTTAAACTAATTGCTTTTATAGCAGCCGCAAGAAGTGATGACTACTTAATTGATCTCAAACCATTTCCACCAGGATTTATAACTCCAACAGGTGAGAATGATATCGAAGGCCTTAGACAACTGATATTAGAAATTCCAAATACATATGATATACTAAAATGTATATTAAGAAAACAAGTTGATTCACTTAATCCAAAAATGGTGGAACTTATATTCTGGATACAAATAAACATCCCACATATGATTGATGAACCAGTGGAAAAATTCTTAGACAATTGTCATATTTCGTATGAGGATTTTCCGTCAGAAAAAAAACCACTTGCCGTATTTGCTATTGGAGGAAGAGTAAAAGACCGATTCAGAGAATATTGTGTGGAAAATAATATCAAACCTGCCTGTGTTTATTTTTATTGTCATATTCACGAAGTCTTTAGAATTCTAGTTAATGATTTCCTAGAAGAACAATCTCCATCTATTATATTAAGAAAAACATGTGATCCAGAGCAGTTATATTGTGAAGCAGTGTGGGAGAAGTCAGAATGTTTTTCGGAAATTCGTTGCATTGCTATGTGCTCACTCCTTCCTTCGAGTTCACATGTTCAATCATCCAACGATGTGCAAGGAGAGTGTATTGAAATTGTGGATATGGAAAATATCTTTATAGAACGGTTTATATTGTATCCCGACGATTGGAATGAATCAAATGCTGAAACGACTTCATCTCGGTTGAGGGAGTTCGGTTATATATTGGCATTCACGTCAATAACTTGTTTGGCTGTGTCAGCTTTAATACGGAAAATAGGCTCAAACCCGATAGCACATCGCTTGGTCTCTAAGTGTTTGGGTACCTTGCAAGGAATGTTCAAAATTTCTGTCAATAAAGCTATTGATAGAGCACGTTTTGATGTATAAATTCTTGTTAACTTTTTGAATTTGACTCTCTGGTATTATAAAATTTTCGTATTAAATTGTTTATTTACACAGTGAAATGCAATAAATTCAAATAATTACTTTGTGGAAAACAAAAGTCGTGCTTATATATTTAATGGATAATTTGCAAGAGCTTGCTCGGTATATATCATACATAATATTTTATTAAGTAACATAAGTCATAATAAGTTTCAATAGGGAGAAAGGAGTACGAAAGAGTTTTTTGGGTACAACAACTTGCTTCCAAATTTAAAGTATATACTCGTGCATAAAAAAATAAAAATTTTTTTCTAACAAAAACGTCTCACTCATTCCGCAGTTTATATGGCAGTTATATCTAGATATAAATCTTCATGAAATTTTGTATGTGTTTTATATAATTATAAGACGTATATACATGTACATATTGTACCAAATTGTATTCGAGTATTTCTACTGAAAGCGGGGCTTTATTATACACTGAACACTGGTTTTGACTAATTCCAAAAATGATCAAAGTCTGTTCCCTGAATGTGTGTGTACAAAGTCTTGAGTTTAAGACATCGAATAGCCTTAAACTGAGACTATTCTTGAGAGAAAATGTGACTAAACTGAGACTATTAAACAGAGAGTACTGTGGAATGAAAAAACGAACAGAGTGATGAAGAGAGTTAAGCGTGATCAGCTCGTCAAACTGATCAATATAATATGATTTACTTTACTATAAAATTTTCTTTAATGCGTTACCATTTTTGCACCCTTTCCGTGTAAAAGGCTGTAAATGACAGCTGTCATTCTGACAACTGTTGAAGATTTACTTACCAAAAGTGAACATGCGCTAATTACATATATTTTCCAAATGTGAAGACCAAGATACTTGTGTGCATTGAAATAAGCAGGATTGAGAGGGAGGTGTTTAATTCCATGGTTTTTATTAATATAATGAAGAATACTTTTTAGTATAATTAAAACAATCCATGACACAATATAATATAGATCCTAACTGTATTAATCAATAAATTTATATTTTGTTGAATAAATAATAGGTATTTAAATTTTGTATATATCTGTTCACTATATATACATATTTGATAGTAGTTAAAAATGAGGTTAGTTTAAACTCTAAATATATATGAAAGCAGCGCCAGTCAAGTTGTTTTAAAAGCAAACCGAAATATTTGAATGTTAACAGCAAATGCTCCTTTTCTTTTGTCCAAGTCATCAAATTTGTTTGCCTGCTTAACTTCCTTTGACAACATGAGTCAATGCCTGAGCACGTGTTAATATTTCTTCAGGGTGGAAATTTTAAGAATCATTTGCATTAATTTAAGGAAAATATTTTTATGTGGTTTTCCCTAAAGTGAAAGTGAAGGCAAAGAAAGTAATTATGTCAAAAATTACTACAACCACTCCAGATGCTTAACACTGGAGCCACTGTCGATTGTCGTAGACAGTGTTGACGCAGCTCAAATTGCTTCTCCTATCCCCATTTACGGTCCTCTTCGCGTTCCTGTTGCTGACGCTGACGCTGTTGCTGAAGCTAAGGCTGACTCTGTTATTGTTACTGTTGCCCTTCCGCTGCTCCTGTTAACTAGTGCGTATGCAAATTGTGAGCATAAACGGCAAATTAAGTTCAAATAGCTACTTCTTTAGCTACTTCTACCTCAGCTCAAATTAACACACATGCCCACACATCTCCCAACTTCTGAATTAATTTATAAAATTGTTTATTTCCCGCTCGTCGAGGAATGCATAAATAATTTATTCGAAAGATAAGAAAATTCTTTAATACCGTAGCTATTTTGTTTTTTCAAAACTAAAGACTAAAATAATTCACTGGTGTTATTTATTTAGTTATATTTGGTTAACAAATTATTTTTAAGTTTAATAAAATTCAGTTTTTAGACTCTATACAAGTTGTAATTTTAATCAGGTTCACACAGGATCCTTCCAAACTCTGTGCAATCCAAAAGTTCCTTTCGCGTCGACAAAAAAAATACTGACAAATTTTCAACTTTAAAAATATCTGAACTCAAATTAATCACTGTTAACTTAACTGGAAATGCTACTTGAAAGAACAATCATATTTTAAAGATAAGACTAAAATGCTATAACACCTACTTATTCTCTGTAAAGTAGAATAAAACTTCCACCTATCTCATTTGCTTGTGCTCTGCAACTCTCAGACAACGTTTCAGATAACTTCATATGGCTTTTATTGAACTGAGCCAGCTATGAAATCTTAAACCAAATTATATTGAAAGAATATTCAGCAGCCCTTAGTTGGCTAGAAAACCTTTTCTAATGGAAGCATAATAGCTAAACTTGATTACTTGATTTGAAATTTTAATAGGGAAGCCCAATCGATACATGTGAAATATTTTAACGCAAACCATCAATAGTACGTAGACTCACATGATACTCAGCAAAAGCTTAAGTGGAATATATGCTAGCCATTTAAGACCAAGAAATATATATAAAAATTGTTCGAACCCTAAGCCCTGAATTGAATGAATCACTGATGCAGGGAATGTGCTTAAAAATTCTAAAACCTTTGTGATCACTAGTGCATAATATTGGCAAATATAAGTTATAATCAGCAGCACAATAATTTGTGGAAGATACTATACATAAATATATTAAAATATTTAAAATTAATTAATGTTTAATACAATATTACAGATGAGAGTCTAACTCAGTTATTAATAACATTCAATTAACAATATAGTTGGATTATATTTTCATGAAATTTTGGCTAGATCATCACGCATTGATGTCCAAAACAATGGTAAGAGAATCCAACTTTGATGACCCATCTTATAATATATATTCTAATCATGTATTTATTTTTGCTTTAGAAACATTATCTCTGCTAATCAAAAACCAGATTTAGTGAATGCAGTAAACTTACCTCTGAATTAAAATATATCTGTAAGTAATAACGGTGATTATGCAGGTCAGACAGTCGGTGGCTATGATAATAATATAAAATATTAACATAATAAAAATATATTATTATTTTACCTTTTTTTGGTATACATATTGGATTGACTGCGGTGCAAGAAAATATTTGGATATGGATCCTTATTATTATTGGATCCTTATTATTTTAGCAGATACTTTCTTTGACCTTTTCAGATAATTCAAAATTAATTACATTATATTATAATTATATATATAATGCTAGAATTAATATCATCAAATACTCCAATATATGTGCTACAGTTAAAATTTATTAAATAATAACACAAATTTCCAGCTATTATATATACTCCTCTAAATTTTTTTTTTTTTGGTAATTATTGCAATGGAATGTTTATTTTTTATTATATTTGTCACAAATACATAAAAAATAATATGAATAATAATAAAAATAAGATTATATTCAAAAAAGTTTTGTAATTCCTTATTCCTTTTTTATTTATTATCTGTTAATGTATCCTTAACTTCAATATTACTTTTGGTCATAAGTAATTAGATCAAGATTATAAGACTTAGTTTTAGAAAATAAATTTCTTTTATTTTTATTAATTTAAAAAAAGTAATTAAAATTTTATTGCTGTATAGAAACCAAACTTACTTTAGCTATCATTCGTATTTTTCCTATATATCCTTTTTTATATTTTTTCATTTTTTGGTTTCCCGATTTACTGTTGATTTAAATGTATGTTAATGCTTAGTAATATTTTATACACTAAGTTCAGCTTAAGTCAAAGCCTTAGCTGGCAGTGCCTAAATCAGTTCCGCAGGCGAATGTATCCTTGCAATTTGATTAGCGCACAAAAGGACAATCAATATACTTTATAGTATAAAAAAAATAAAATAAGTATAATTAAAGGTCAACTTTTGGTCCATATTTTTTTTGGATATTTTGTTTATTTATTTATTTGTTCCCTGTTTTCTTGTTTTTTTCTTGTTTTTTTTTACAAAAACCAATTTGAATTCCATGAAGTTCTCTGATAAAAGTTTTTCAAACTCTATATATTGTTTGTTTTCTAGTACTTTTTATTTTTTAATGAATTTTCGCCATTTGATTATTTTTATTTCTTTCTGATTTGAGCACAAAATCTAATCCTTACATTTTTATTGCTTCAACCATCCTTACAAGTGTTTCGCATTGACTTCAGTTTATTTTAATTGGGTTCAAAAAAAGTAAATTGTTAATTTCCAAAATTTTTTGAACATCTTTCAGATAAATTTTTTTTTACTTTTTTTTTGTACAAGTTATCCTCTTTTATCGCTACAAAGTTGCATAGCAGCCCACGTAAAATAAGAACAAATCAAATCAATACAAAGCAAAAGTTTAATTTGTAATATCCTTTAGTCTAATGCAAGTAAAAGAATTCCAAGGATCTCCGGGTTTAATCATTACAATAGCCGGAAGTATATTTAATCCTTAAACGGTTTAGCATAAAAAATGTTAGTCTTGCAACGTCAATGTGGGCCGCTTCCCACCTGTCGTCGTCTATTTTCGATTTTTTTCTCTTCAGCTTGACTAGCTCTTGTAAAAATATACAAGTTTATCTGATTTTAGTATGTTCTAAACAAAATTTAATATTGATAATTCACTTTTCATAATTTTTCAGTAAAGTTTTCTTTGAAGTTCTTATCTTTATATTATAGTTATCCTTTCGGCGATCTATATTATTATCACAATTAACTTAAAAATACCGACAGATTAGTTGTGTTCGACTAGCAGAATAAGTATGATAGATTCTTAAACATATATATATACATATAATATTTTTTATTGATGATAACATCTGATGAAATTTTTTTTTGTGCTATGATATATATGAAAATTTATGTAAATTAATTTTCAAGTTTATTTCTTTCACTATTTTTTTTTTTTATTTTTTATTTTATTTTTTATTTTATTTTTTATTTTATTTTTTATTTGATTTTATTTTTTATTTAATTTTTTATTTTATATTTTATTTTATTTTATTTTATTTTATTTTATTTTTTATTTTATTAGTTATTTTATTTTTATATTTTATTAACTATGCTGTCTATTTTGAATAGACAAAATAGAATAGATTTTTTGTGCTATGATATATATGAAAATTTATTTAAATTAATTTTCAAGTTTA